AGATAAAGAAGGAGAAAAATAAAGGGGTAGAAGAAAAGAAGTAGCATAACATTACCAATTTAGTTGATATGATGCTCATCATGCTTTTTACATATCTAATTTTCTTGACTACAAAAGAGATATATATTCTACGCAATCATATCTTTTATCCATAGGAGTTATTAAAATATTACATAATAATGAATTTAATTACGGTGTTGTGAAGACTTCTAGAGGCTCAACACACTACCCTCTAAAGTCATCATAATATTCGATGAAATAAATAATTCAAGTTTTGGATATATTGTGATCAATGGATACCTATTTATATATAAAGTTTGAGTATCCTATAATATAATTGGGTTTGGCTGTTTGGGATAGATATAAGTAGTATATATATACTACATAAGTCGGGTTTAAGTAGTATATATAATGTGTGTGCAGTGTAATATATATATACTCTTTTATTATATACGTTGTATTATGTAACATATATTTAAAATGTTTTACACATATATATTATAAGTAGTTTTTTTACGCACTTTGTGCGAATGAGATAATGCCCAATAATTATTTTTAAATAAGTATTCCAAAGTATATCAATGCAATATTACATAGGAGATTTTCATGCATATGTAAATAAATGTTGAATTTGTTTATTTAAATCGGTAATTTAAAGTATATAAATGCAAGATAATATATGAGAGATTGATTATAATTGTCACTAAAATAAATGTTTGCAACTTTGTAATAACGCTAGTCTAAATATTTAGTTTTAAAGCGATAGTCTAAATAAATACTACTTTTGATTTAAATTTCTCTAATTCTTCTTAATTCTTTTTTTGGGTAGCATTGTTATTGTTTTCAACTTCAGTACATGTCCTCTTTTTTTCTTCTTTTTTTTTTTTTTGTTTTTTTATTGGTAGTGTTTCATGTGCAATTAGGTTACTGGTAGCAGCATAGAGGGATTCATCATGCAATGAGATTATAGTGTAGGAAGTTTTAGATTTACCTTGCTGTGTATATGACTCAGATTTTAGTTGTAATATGAACTCTTTAGCGTACAAACACCTATTGATATTTAGTAGTGGTAATTTTTTTCCTACATGTTTCATGTGTTGTGAGATGTACGTGTGTCGCAGGTTATCATGTGAAATTATTGAACGAAATATTAATATTTATTATATTTGTATAAAATACTTGGTAAATAAATAAATAAATAAATAAATATATATATATATATATATATATATATATAACATGTTTTGTATTATAACTTTGATATTTAATTACAAGATAATGTAAAAAAGAAACAATGAACAATGTAGTGAATATAATAAATTAATTAAATTTGAAGGTAATGAATCTTTGAATTGTAGAAAATAAAGATAATATAACTAATGAAATTATATTTCTTTTAAATTTTTTTATAATGAATAATTTTTTTTTTAAATAAAGCATTATAGACATCTAATTCTAAATTAATTAAATGCATATGTATTCTTTTTTGTTGTAGCTACTAATTTATTTAATTAATAAGAGTAATAAAGTGTCGTACATACTTTTCTTCAACAATAATGAAATCAATGATTTTTTTTTTTAATTTCCATTCCTTGTTGAGACAAATTGTTTTGTGAGTTTGTCCATAACAATTGCTACAATTGCTGAATAGAGGATGATAATAAATAATTCAAAATATATGGTTACAATAGCTATTAATATAATGATATAGTAAAAATTAACTTACAAATTTTTTAAAAAGTTTTTCATGCATTGATAAAATTTTGAACTGTAAACTTGTTCAATTGGAGATAGTAGGATGTTAACATTGTCAATTATTTGAAAAATGATCCTACCGTTTTAGAGTCCATGTGTAATTGTATTTATGATCAACAACTTTGTAGTTAGGCCGCGCAGACAATGATGTAAGAACATTGTCCGATAAAAAAATAATAGTATAATATTAGTAATGTAATGTACAATTGTACCATTATAAAAAAATACAAAAAAATATTAATACCATAATGGCCTAAATCATTCCAATAATGCAAAAGCATAATTGAAATATTAAGTTTTGTTCTAAATAATCAGAAGAAGATTAATTAAAAAAAAAAACTTAACATAAATTTGTTTTTTTTTTAATAAAAAAATTCAAGAAAATCAAATAATTTTAAAGTAGTTCTTGATTTATAATATTTCATGATGCTCAACTTTGAATGCTATGTATTTAGTCGAGCTAATTATTTGACCAAAGTTTATGTTAAATTTTATATTATATATTTTTAATACATTTTAACATATTCATATATATGTTTAACAATTATGTCAATTATACTTGGGATGAGGTTCGAACCTAAGACCTTATATAAATTAAGAGTATGTTAAGAATAATAAATAGTTAATGGAATATATGTTTAACAATTATGTCAATTATACTTGGGATGGGGTTCGAACCTAAGACCTTATATAAATTAAGAGTATGTTAAGAATAATAAATAGTTAACGGAATATTCTGTTACTAAAGTTTAAACTAACGGAATTTAGGGTTATTTAAGGGAAGAAAATAATATAATAGAGGGTAAATAAGGAAAATCATTAAAAGATACTAAAATCAAAATAATATGAACCATTCATTTTAAGAAACAATTAGTACCGACATTTTGTTTGTTCCAGTTAAGGGCCTAACATTATTCGCTCTTATTAGATTTGTAGATTGTCAGGACGACAATTGGGCAAGATGCACCCAATCCGAAAAAATCAAGGGCCACGTAACGGTCATGTATACACTTAAGAAGAGACTGCATATTTACTTCAGCACCACCTTATGCCCTTATTTAAGAAGAAGCAATTATGCAGAGACCAGACGCTCCATCATTATTATTATAGAGTCTGATCCGTTACGCTAGATAAAGAGACATTGTACAAGCAATATAAATAGTATACCTTATATTGGAAGAAGCAATTATGCAGAGACCAGGTGCTCCATTATTTTATCAAACATTTATGTAGACATTATGTAGACATCTTCTTTTGGACTCCGTTTCTCAACGTTAGGTGGAAATTGCAAGTGAAAGAGGCTATAGTGTAGTCTCAATCTCTTGACAATTGCACACCTTTTAGACCTCTTGTATGAGGAGTGGACCTTTTAGACCTCTTGTATGATGTGGTCATTCCTCATACAAGAGTCTACACAAATCTATATATATATATATATATATATATATATATATATATATATATATAGTTTTGCATGTGCATTCGTACAACTTTCTGCTAGTTCATATACGAGCTTTGTACGAGCGCGCAAGGTAACATGCAACTTTCTGTCGGTTCCTATACGAGCACGCAAATCGCGTACTATTTTGATCTTGAAGATGTTTGAATTAGACTTTGTAGTCTCTAGTAAAATTGTAGCCCTTTGAGTAGTTTTCGTTCTACCTTTGTCTTCAATTCCTTATTTTTGTTGCTTCAGGTAATGATTAAAAAAAAGCTACTAACATAGTATGACTCAAAATAATATATATCTTGATTGTCTTTCTTATTTATATGTTCAGTATATATTTACATTTTTAATGATAATAATGTCAAACCATAATTTCTAATTAACTTATTGATATATAGTAAATAAAACAAAACAAAAGAGCCTAAGGTGGGGCCGGGGCACCCGGATTCTGGGAGGAAGGCATAAGAGTATGAGCATAGTTAAAGGCTTAAAGCATACTAATATTAATATGGGGAGGGCTGATTTTGGAATAAAAGTTGCTTAAAGAAATGGGCGGGCCGGGGATGCAAGCAAGCAAGCTTTGCTTTACCACTTTTAACCTTGTAGTGGACGAAACCAAATCATGCTTTGCAAGTTTATATTCATTTCCTTGTAAGCTTAACCTACCTATCATGCTTTCCACTCATTCACAAATCATAAGTAACATCTTTGATATATCAACGAGCAATCACTTCCATCTATATATATACCCATTAGTTTATTTTGCATTGTTTTAATAATTAAGCTATAGCTTCAATGACTTGCTTAATCAAATACAAATGTTTCCACTATAATAAATAAGACTCTCAATCACCTTATGCTCAATGACACATTTATGACTTTTTTTGAGGGAAAGTCATAGGATCGGATCCGATTGTGGAGTATTGACTCTTTAGCTACAATTGATAGAGAAAATATATTGAACAGATACTATACTGTAATAAAATTTTACAACTTTAGCCGTTAAAGGATAGAAATAAAGCAACATAGGTTACTAATAAACAACGTAACTCTTACTAGGAGTCGAATTTTGAAAGAATATTATTATTCTTTCTACCTTCTATTCTCTGTATATATCCAAACCCATGGTGACATATATTCTTGTTCTTGTTAAAATTCCTTAAAATTTCACTAGAAACGACATACATCATCCTCTTACTTATTCTTTGCGTAATCTGATATCCTGCTACCCATACACTAGCCAAAACATGTATGGTAAAATTAGACAATAATCTTATACACCACCGAGGAGATTAGTCATGCATCTATCTACGCACTCATCATTTCAAACATCTAACAATATAGTATTACCATATTACCAAATATATAATTGAAGATCTCACCAAAATTACTACACAAAAAACTATAGTTAGTACATACCAGTTTTATGTGCACAACTTTCTAAGATCAAATGACGTTATTACTACACTAAAAGTTATAACTAGTAAACAAAGATGCAAATTTATTCAAATACTGAATTTGACTCTCCAAACTTCGGCCCACCAATTCAATAGAAGGGTACAAAGAAAGACTTAAATACCATCCAATGCAATCACATATGTTCGTAGTGGTAAATAATGGATATTTTAAAAGTAGAAAATTCATATTCCGATGTGGGACATAAACCAATATGCCTTATGTCTGTCCTATACTCCCTTATTGAGATGTTAAGATTCTTATTTAGGCTAAGATTGTCAACTATATGACCAACCACCTGTGTTCAAGTACAAATACCCTGGTTGCTTCAACCAAAAGCTACACCATTAACCCTAATCACACAACCCAAAATAAAGTTTAAATTAAAGTTGCACTTGCACCACAAACAAGGCTTCTAAAAATTCCTCTTTAATCTAATGACAAATCCCCATACTTAATTTATCCCATGCATCAATCTGCAAAACAAAAGAGCCAAGAATCACCTTTATATATATTTCCCACCTGAACTCAATCTTCTTGTCAATTCTGATCTCTACCTGCAAATAAACATGAAATACAATGAAATATCTCACTTTAGCCACCCTCAACACAAGCTGGGATTTGAGTACTCGGAGTTGCCGTTCAAGTGCGACGGGTGCAAGGAGGCCGGAATTGGATCCCGGTACAAGTGCGCCACCTGCGACTACGATCTCCACATGCATTGCGCCATCCCCACGCCGTCGATCGCTCACCCTTTTTACACCAAATGCTCCTTCCAGTTCCTTGCCCGCCCGCCGGGAAGCGTTCCCAGATACTGCAACGCCTGCGAGAAGGACATAACGGGCTTCCTTTACCATTGCAAACTCTGCGGGTTCGACCTTCACCCCTGCTGCGCCAAGCTCCCCATGCTGCTCGACGACGGAGAAGTCAAGCTTTACTTGTACCGGAAGGTAATTGAACTTGAAGAAGAAGATAAAGTTTCAATATGGAAAATGTTTTTTACCCATCATAATTTTTTCGGATCCTTCCCAAATTTCCTCTCTTCCTCTATAGCATGAGTTATAATTATTAGATATCATGAATTGGTTGATCCTATTAATTTTTAATAAAAAAGTAAGATAACCAATGAACAGAACCATGTCAAGAGTGAAAGTTATGAGTGAAAAACTTTTTAACCAATCCCATCATGTACCATTTATTTGAAATAATTATAGAGGTGTCATCACAGTACAAGTAGTACAATTGACAAATAATTAATTCTTTAAAAACTTAAGATGTAAGTTAACTTTTATTAGGAAAATGTCTTATTTGCCCTTAAATTATACTCCAATTATATACTTGCTCAATTATTATCGTATCTATTTTTGACCCATTATTATGATAGTTATGATTTTAGTCCTTTTTTGTTAATATTCTATTAAGTTTGGATGAAAAATCAATATGAAGTCTAAAAAGACAAATTATTCTGTGGACCCGGATTCATAAATACATAATTTACAATTTAAATACTAAATTGTGAACATTCAATATATAAATTGTGTATTTTAGACCTGGGTCCACCTTGCCATGGTATAGCTGCTAAAGTCTTAATTAAACTGCAATTTGAATTAAGAGTTTAAAATTTGTCAAATAAACTTAGTAGCTAGAATACTAAGAACAACTTGACTCCAGAACCAATTCAAAAATGTCATTTTTTTCCAATTGGATTCCATTAATTATTAAAGTAATATGATGGATGGGATAGGTGAGTTCGTCGTGCCACCGGTGCGGGAGGAAGGGTCGGAGCTGGAGCTACCGGTCGACGTGCAAGAAGTACAATCTGCACGTTGCATGTGTGAAGGAGATGCTGGTGGAAAGTTGGCATGAGATTTACTTTGGCAGATCATCAAATAGAAAATTGGAGACAAGAATTCCTAGCTTGAAGGGAACCTTGCAGACTTATCATAATCATAGCAGGAAGAGCAAAGGGAAGAAGATGCAAAAATGCTGTGAGATGGCTGCTCTCGCGCTCCAGTTTGTTATCTCTGCTCTTCTCGGGGATCCCACTTCTCTTATTGCTGGGGTGGTGGCCTCACTCATGTCTAAATAATATAAATAAATAATACTCTCTCTCTCTCTCTCTCTCTCTCTTTCTCTCATATATATATATATATATACAAGCTAGCTAAGTGCTACAGATAGATTCTGATTCGCCGCCCGCCCGCCCACCGTCTTCGGTTATGTATGTCGTCGGTGATTCTTTCTCAATCTTGTATTGTATTATTGCACTGTTTATGTATGTTATGCTTTAATCAAGGAGGGCTCATGTATATATAGAAGCTGTAGTACATGCATCAATTCAAAAGGATATACTCACACAGCTAGCCCCGGCCCCATGTTAATTTACAATGTTATTTTTAATTTATAAGTCTGATTATTATGAAACACATCTTTCTATTTTTTTTTTTTTTTCATTTTACTATTTATTTGTCAAACAAATTCTTCTTTCTTTAAAATTTTCTTATAAGTTTTAAAATATGATTTTTTTTTTTTTAGTTTCTAAATTTATAAATTTTATATACTAAAATTATATATATATATATATATATATATATATATATTAGGGTTGCAAAAATCCCTCCTAGGCACCAAGTAATCGGCGCCTAGGCGCTAGGCGGCCCTAGGCTGTGGCGATTTGCCCCCTAGGCTCCCGCCTAGGAAACCGGTCGCCTAGGCGCCCGCCTAGCGCCTAATTCGGCCGATTACGCCGAGTTAACTCGTCAATTTCTGTCGAATTAGTCGAGTTAACCCGGCCGATTCGACCTTGCTAATTTTTTTTATTTATATGACACACACACACACACACACACACACACACACACACACACACACACATATATATATATATATATATATATATATATATATATTACAAAAAAAAGGGTGTAAATAATTTAAGTTATGTCTTGTTCATATAAAATGAGACAAAGGGATACTAATTAATTTGTATTTATTACTTTTTTCATGGGCTTTGGAATTTTGCAATTAAAGCAATGTGTTCTGAGTGTTGTTTATTTGCATGTTTTTTTAATACTACCACAATTTTTTGTTTAATTAATTACTAGATTGTATTTAGTTTTATTTTATTTTTTCCTTTTATGGTGCATGTAAAGGTTCATCATGCCCAAAAAAGTTAAATTATTGCAACACGTCCAAATTATTCGATAATTTAACAGTTAATTTCATTTTTACTCCTAGATTTATAAGTGTCAGTCCACTTTTAGTCTCTTTTTTTTAAAAAAAAAATATTCTCGTTTGATTTTAGTATTATTGTGGCATGAACATTTTTTTGTCTTCAGTCAATAAAATCGTTAAATGACATTAAATACAATGATTTTGGTCTATTTAATTTTAAGTGTTAAGTTATTTTCTTTTTTTTGGTCCTAAATTTATATGTGTCATTCCATCCACTTCTAGTCTTTTTTTTTTTTTTTTTTTCCAAAACATTCCCTTTAGTCCTAGTATTATTGTGGCATGGTCATTTTTTGTCATCTGTCAACAAAACTGTTTAAATGACGTTAAATACGTACAAGGGCATTTTGGTATATTCAATTCTAAGTGTTAAGTCCTTTAATAATTATAAACTGCTAGATTTTACCATAAGTTAAGTAAAATTTAATGCAAATGACTTAGAAGATGTAACATTGTTTGAGAAATTAAAAAAAAAAAGATATAGCTGGAATAGCTCAGTTGGTTAGAGCGTGTGGCTCTTAATCACAAGGTCAGAGGTTCAAGCTCTCCTTCTAGCGTCTTAAAGATAGAAATTTAAAATATTTGTATCCAAATCCATTTGGACTTCAAGTTATTGTATTATGACAAAAATAATTGATAATAAACTTTTTTATCCAAATATAATTCATAAAAATTCAACAAAGAAAATAAATAGAATTCAAATTTAATTTAAAATTATATTTTTTCGTGCATATTTAAATTCAAAATTATTCACCAAAATTTTGATGTCAATTCATTTTAAAATTTTATTTTTAATTAAAATTAAGATTAATATATATATATATATATATATATATAAATTCTAAAAAATTAATTATCAAATATAAAAATAATTAATTACATAAAAAAAAAATTAACAAAAATTGGGAGCCTTGGGTCGTGGTTGCCCTGACCGCACATGACCAGGGCCAGCCCTAGAGTTTGACTGTCACTATTATAAGGAATGTACATTATTTTTGTATTGTATGTACATTATTTTACAATATACAAAATATGATCCACACAATACTGTGTGGACAATAATTTACCCTAATTACCTACTAATCTACTTAAGACTAAGGCTATCTGCGCTCATAAAATGGGTGCTCATTTATTCTTATGTGGCATGTGCATTGCCACATGAAAAATAAATTGAACTTTATTTTATTTTTTTAAAATAGCACTTTTCCTTTTTAAGTTATAAGTAATTATAGGATTCGCTCCGAAGATACTTGTTGATCTTATTCACTTTTCATCCCTAAGTTATAACTAAAATGGTCGAAAATCAGCAATTTTCAGTTGGAAACCACTATTCCGACCACTTGGGGTGTCTGATCTAGAAAATCTTCCGTCGGTAATTTCGACCACTGCATGAAGTGATCGAAAATAGCGTCCGCTATATTCTAAAGTGATCAGGAAAAAAGTTAGAGTTGCGTAATTTTGAACCACGGGTGATCGGAAATGGTCACAAATAAAGATAATAGATGTGGGACTTTCCAACCACTTTTGGTGGTAAGATAAGTACCCAATAAAAAAAAAATCATTTCACTACAGAAGAGATCCCCTCAGTAGTGAAATGAAAATAAAAATAAAAATTGTCACAAATTGATAAGATATCTGTTGAAAAACATATACAAATTTCATTCGTTTGAAGATAATTCTTCAATATACAATTAAATTTAAAACAAGTCAAAATCCCTCCCAACCTTCCGTACAACATACACATTTTCTAAAGCTTTGTGTCTTTTCCAGCTGGCTAATAAAGTCATTCTAAAATTTAACTTCTAATTCAATCTCTTGAGCAACCTGCAATACCACACATAACTAAGGAATTGCAAATTAAAGAAGAATGGAAAAGCAAATCTAAAAGAATTTCAATCAACAAGGCACTTCTCTGATCTGTCTAAGCTAGCATACACTGATCACAGAAAAGTACGATGCATTACCTCCCATAAATGTGGCAAGGAATTAGGTACTAGAAAGAAGAGCAAATAATTACAACCATATACAGATATTGAAGTCACCTCAGACAAAAAATTATGAATTATAAAGTAAAAAGTAGTGACTTCTATATAATCATATTGCAGATTTGTAGTAGACTAGTTCACCTTAAGCATCAATAATATGTAAATGGTTATCATATTAGCAAGATCATGTGTGGTTCAAATATGATAAATTAAGTTCCCACAAACAGTACAACTACAATAATTCAGAACTCATAATGAATGGAGTTAATTACCAAGAACAATGACTAATCAGATGGAGTTTAAATGTGTGTGTAATTGTTAGTGTGTTTACTTAAGCTTACCTCCCAGGATATCCACAAATTGTCCTAATTGACTGCTCTAATTTCAAAACCAATTGCTCCAGAGTATCTGTTTGTAAAGAAACTTATTAAGTAAAACTGATATATAAAAACAACAAGTGGAAGAAAGATCAAGAAGGAGACTCTAAATTATATTATCTCTGCAAATTCCAAATCAGCTAGGAACACTTGCACGAATCTTTTCAAAGTGATAATAAACTTAAAATATCATATAAGTATATTAGAAGATTGTTGATTGAAGTATAAGAATGCAAGATGATCCACATGGTCTCTCTAAATTCACAATAACCAAGTTAACGTATATATTGACAAGCTTGGATATGATGTTTCTATACCATCATATCATATCCTATCAAATAGAAACAATTTGATATATTCGCGCCGGTTGGGTACGCACTAATTAATTCGCCATACGTGTGACCAAATTAAAGTATTATTGCATACTAGTGCATTATTGGATTAATATGAATTTGACATGACAGTAAGAAATATATATATAATATATGAGAATTAAATGCAGTTTTGTCTTGGTGCGGCTTATCATGGATATATGGTCTTGCATGTATGATATGATAGATTCGATGAGGCAGCAATGAGCATGCATGCAGCTTAAAATTAACATTATTGAAACGTAACGTACATGTAGCTAGCTGGAATGAGCTAATATTTGTGGCCTACTCTCATCTCATCTATATATCTATAAAATGTGTGTTTCACAAACAAAATTAATAATCACCGACAACCGACTATACCACCACTGCACCACCATGCGTGTGCTGCTCTCCACCTGCCTTCCTAACTTCCAATTTAATAATTTAATATAATAATAATAATAATAATTGATTGGACTAGGGGTAGTCAACCAAGCACTCAGCCTGGCATTAGATGGTAGTCGGACTGGCTCGGGACTTGACCACTCAACCGCGACGGTAAAGGAATGAATTATATGACAACTATACAATTACGGAAGGACAATCAAGGTTAACCTAAATTAGTTCCTACCCTCTTAATTATCCTTCTCCTTCCTAAAATCACTTTCCAATCCCATTAATTATCCTACTCCACCATATATAAATACTGAATTACCATATAGATCTCGATTATCATATACTCTACCTATTTCTCCATTATAAAAGACCTTAGTAAAGAAGGGGCATCGAAATTCTCTCTCTCTCTCTAGACTTCTGGAGAACACCCTACTTTACATGTACCAAACTATCTACAAAATAGTGAATTTCGGCTTGACAACGTCCGAAAAGACTCGTGATTTTCACGTTAAAATTACTGGCTCTACTTATTTTTCTACTCATTTATATTTTACTTTATTCACACGAATCGATTATGTTGGTCAGGGTTACAACAACAACAACAATATTGCGGGTTATTATATGAGAGTGAGGTTTTTCCGTTTTAGAAATCGATTAAGGAATGAATGTGGGTGGGCGGCATGTGCTTAATTAGAATAGTATTAGTAGTTTTGGCGGAAAGATCTTCAGAGAATCCACGACTCAGTACTGACTGCACTCAAGATTCATGTGCTGCATATTTAATTTAAAGCCTTTCACTTTTTATTAATGGAAATCTTTTGGCAAAGTTATTTGGAGAATCTTTCAATTCTTTTTTTTCTTTTTCTTACACGTAATTTATTTCAAACTCAAACTCAGATCAAACTTTGTTTCAAGTTCCATTACTCTATTTACTATATTCAATTTCAATCCAAAATCTGAAAAAAAAATAAAAAAAAATCGAAGGCATATATTTGAACTTTTTCCTTTAATAATATTATTATTACTACATATTTCACTAGCTACTTCCCAATTTCACTTTATCATATATTAATATTATCAGGTTACATGTCCAAAAATAAACCAGAGTTGTCCCGACAATTTTTTAAGGTAGAAAGAGCATTAAATGGACAACTATAATTCTCATTAAATTTGAGCCATATAATAAAAAAAATAATATAAATTAAATAATTATAGACGACGATACCCGGCCCCGTATCGCTTCTGAATCTCTGATAGGATGGTTGCAACTTCTATATAAACCTTCTGATCCCATCAAATGCTGAATGCAACACAGAAACACCATTTCTTCTCTAATTCTCATTATATTCATTCCTTTCTTTCACTGATCGGTCGAACTGAAATGGGTAATAGTTGTGCGTCGTCCGATCATCACATGATCACGAGGTGCGGGCGGAGCGTGATGAATTCGCCGACTGCCGGAGTAGCGGTGGTGGTTAAGTTGGACGGGAAACCAGAAGAGTTCCGGCAGCCGGTGAGAGCCGGCGACATCCTTTCCGAGAACCAAAACTGCTTCCTTTGCAGGTCGGAGGCAATGGACGTCGACTCGCCGGTAGCGCGCTTGGGCGCCGACGAGGAGCTGCAGCTCGGGCAGCTTTACTTCCTCCTCCCCATCTCCAAGTCGCAGTCACCGCTCTCTCTTCACGATATGTGCGCGTTAGCCATCAAGGCCAGCGCCGCCCTCAGTGAGTGTAAATTGATGAACCCCGTGAGAGAAGGCCGCCGCCGCCGCCACGGCGTTAATAAGGTCTTCTCCGCCCGAGCTCTGGTGGCCGCCGATGCGTCGTTTGGGTGGATGATTAAATTGCTGATGCTGACCAAAAGGTTGACTTCCATCCTGTTTGAACAGAGGTCGTCACCATTGCGCCGGTACGGTGATGATAGATGCATCCAACCAATTTGAGATTGTATATGGTCTTTACTAATTGTCATTGCCTTGCAAATTAAAAAATATTCACTTTTTTTTTTTTTTTTGTCAAACACCCTCTCAATCCATTTAACCACACACAATCTTCCTAATACAATTTATCTCGATGAGAGATACAAAATTTAATACAGAGATTGACATCTACAGTACTAAGATATGTGGTTAGCCACATGAGGCTAACTTATTCACCATAAAGCTATACCAATAATAAATAATAACATCACTATTAATCTCTTCTATGTGATGTATAGACTATTCCACAGTAATGAGATTTATTTAGTATACACTATCGGATAGTAATTACAAATTTCCCTTGTTACCCCCCACCACACACACATTTCAATTTAAACACGTTAACTATTTACATGCCGGATCATGACATATCAAGTGAGTGTGCACTATGATTGAAGTCATACTATACGTGTGATATAAGTGGACCCTTGATTGAGTTAATTAATATAAAAAATAATCCTTCAATTACTTCATACTATACGTGGGATATAGGTGGACCATTGATTGAGTTAATTAATATAAAAAATAATCCTTCAATTACTTCATACTATACGTGTGATATAGGTGGACCCTTGATTGAGTTAATTAATATAAAAAATAATCCTTCAATTATTTTGAAATATCAAAATTAGTTATCAACATCTCATTGGACTAGATTAAGTCCTTGATGCCCACACGGCCAGTTTAGTATAGTGATTTAGTATACCTTATTTAAGAGAAGATACTAAGATTCTAAATTCGACAATGACAATGAATTACTGTGATTTACCTCCTTCCACATACTTTCTTCTTTTGAAAGAAGATTAAGTCGATAATCAAATATGCATTTGTAACCAATTTAGTCCTCCAATTAATTTTCCTATCAAATGCATGACATTCTCTAGTATAAGTGTGAAAACTCTAGCTAGTGTTTTCAACAAAAATTTTAAAAATCTTAACTTTTCACACCAAAATCATTCAAATTTCTTCCACCCCCAAAAAAAACTTCTTCCATTGTGTTAAACATTCCCAACTAAACTCTAATCTCATTCTAAGGGTTGCATATAGGGCCTATCTCCCCCACAATTTTTGTTGAATTGTTCCGTATACGAGACAAAAAAAAATGTTTAAATTTTCAAGTGTTATCATATTTAGCTAGAAAATTAAATAATACATACTCAATAACTTAATTTGGTTCAATTAAAAGTGAGAGGACTAACTTTAATATTTCAAAATAGTTGAAGAACCATTTATAGTATTAACTTATTTTTGTATAATTGAATATAAATGAGTATAGTTTACTCATTAATGGTATTAGCTATAAATGTAATAATATAGATAGTGACGTCTTCCACAATTGGGGTAGTATTTGTAGAACAGACGTAGAAATAGAGAAATAGAAGCAATCCAACTGTAGGAACAACTCATACTTGTTGGAATAACATGTGACATGTTTCTACCAAACTACTTTCAACATCTTATCACTATTAGACAAATTTTTTTCAACGCGGTCGTAAAATATGATATCGTAGTGAAAACTTAGTATTTTTTCTGATGCTTGAACCCATAACCTTCCATGTGGGAGTTCAACTTGGTACCATTGGACCACAAGGTCCTTGGTATAAAATAGGAGCCTAATTGTCATAGTTTGAGGGTTTATTTAACTTTTTTTCCATTAGAAATAATGTTTGGTTCAACTGTTCAAGTCATCTATAGAAGTCAATTTGATTCTATACCAACCACAACAATTGTCCCAGTGAGGTTTCAGAGAGTTCTGATTGCCCAATTCAACCTAGTCTTCAGCCAAAGTATAATAATTTTTTTGAGAAAACTCAAAGACAACATAGGAGAAGATGAAGAAGCCAATGTTTCTTGCTGTAAGATTGTTCATATCTCCCATGATCCCATCTCAGTTTATGAAATAACTATATACATGATGATGATATTCAGAAATCGATCACACTTCACTAAGCAAGGTAAAATGAAATCATCGTTTACAAATCGCGGAAGAAAAAGAATAACATTTCATCCACAACCATGGTTCACATCTGGTGTGGCGACGTCAGAGTGAAATGGAACTTCAACCCTCTCCCTTACAACGCATCGAGTTTCGCCATTTTCAAACACGAGCACCTTTCCAGGAGGGCATGTGGCATTCCTTCCTTTCTTGTCGATCCCAAACAGTTGAAACGGATTCGTAGCCTTGAGGCAGTTATCTCTTTTCTTAAGCCGAGGCTCAAAACCAGCGAGAGTTAGAACAGATATTAGCCCAACAACAGTCAATGCTGTCCTGGCAGCTACACCAATAAAACACGTTACCATTCTCGATGGACTTTTTGCCTCTTCTTGATGGAGATCCTTTGTCAATTGATGCGGTTGGCTTCCATTTATCGCCCCATTTTGAGAAAGCATGTGTGAGGAAGGGGGATATGAAGGATAGAGCTTGTCCGAGACTAGAGGGTAAGGTTGGGTTGGATATGGAGGGAGCAGGAGATCATTACTTTCTTCCACAGTTTCACCGACAAAAGCAATTGCCTCGTTTATAATGTCCAAGTTATCCCCTTTGTACTCCTTCAGCTTCTTGAGCAACTTCTCTTGGGAATAGGCTATCCCGGCAAAGGCTTCAGCTTTTTCATATAGCTGTTGCTGATGCAGTGCCTGCATAAAATAAGAGAGTCAAAGTCGGACCAAATGCCCGATAAATATTAGATGCGGAGATTATGAACAGATAAGAGAGTGATGGTGTGGATATTATGAACATTTAAGAATGCATTCCACAGTTTTAACGACTGAAAAAATGCCATGGTTACACTTCGTAACATAAACATTAGATGATCAGGATTCAAAGTCGGACCAAATGCCCAGAAATGACTTAGCTTACCACTGGGCTAAACACTGCCTAAACTCCAAATTCCTGCTCTATTGTATATTGGTAAAGGCAAGACAATGATAGAGATAGTGGAGTCTTGGTCAGCCAAGTGTTTTTTCCCACGAGGGGTATCCACAAAACCTATTATATCATTTTACTGCTCTCATTGTTTCCTCATAAACACATCCATTAACCATCTAATAGCCAAATAATCTACACCTCCTTTTATAGTTTCAACATAGGCAATTTTCTCACCTCCAGCAGATCATTGGATCTTGTCAATAGCTAAAATATTATCATATAAAAACATCCCTTTCAGTCCTGGAACAAAAAGGAGCTTGCATAGCTAAAATAAGGGAGCAAATCTATCAGTAAAGATTTATACTTTAGAAATTAAAAGCATAGCATTGACTATGCAAATGCTTAGATCACCAACAGGCAACACCAATAGATAAGAGTTACACTCCTAATAGTAAAAAAACCTGAACCATGCCCGCACAGGCAGCTCAGTTGGTTCCTGAGTAGTAGATTGTGTGCAAGGACACAAGATCCAGCCCTAGCAACCGTAGTGCAGTGTGGGGTTAGGCATTGATCCTCTCACCAAATAGGAGGCGAGTCAACGTGATTTACCCTCCACTATCCTGTGGGGTCAGGCCAGGGACGAGGGAATTTCACCTGGCCAAAGCAAACCTAAACTAGGGATGGCAACGGGGCGGGGGATGGGGTCCCCGTCCCCAAATTCAACCCCCATCCCCGTGAGGATGGGGACGAGGTCGGAGCAGGGATACCCTCCCGGTCCCCATCCCCACCCCGTTCACCGAAAAAATTCCCCGGACACGCCCCGTCAGGGAAGGGATGGGTTTTCTCCGTCGGGTCGGGATGAATTGCCATCTCTATCCCCCTCTAAGGGAGGATTGTAGTAAATAGCAATAAATAACTCATGAAGACTTCCTGGAAAAGTCCATTTCAATCAAACCGTAGGCTAATTATTCCCCTATAGTTCAATAAAATACATGCAAATAAATAATAAAGAACCATAGCGAAACATAGGAATTGGTTATACAAATCACACTTATTGCCAGATTGAAACAGAGACTCCTAAAGAAAAAAAGGAATTAACACAATTGATAAGAAAAGCTACAAAATACCTGCAAAGAAGAAACTAGGACTTCAAGCTTTTCAAGAGCATCTCTGATACTCAAAAGGCAATCCGATACTTCATCTCCTGAATCCATTTCAGCGCCTCCTTTCCTTAATTCTCTTCCTTCCGTTCTATCAGCAGCAATGCAATTAGTGATCTTCGACCTCAATTCTGTTATTCTGGCCAACACCATCTCTATTCTACCTTCCTCCATCTCTTTCACCCTCTCTGAATTTGGGTTTTCAGTTGCGGCGTTCGTGAAAAGGGCCAAGAAGTTCCAAAAAGGAGAAGTCTTTGGAGGGTTTACAGTTTGAAACAAGTGATTGTGGTTCTTTCTTCACTCTACAAAGGGTAGAAAACAAGAAGTTGTGTAGCCCAGCAGCAACTCTGCAAGGCAAATATGCAATCATAATAAGTGCTAACAAAGGCCAAGAAAATGGTTTGGTTGGTTCCTACTTCCTAGTAGTGACAAAAAACAAGCCAAACTTTTCTTTATTGTATACCTGAAATCTTGAAATAAAATCTGTGCCCCTAACTAAATTGGATTTTCCAAAATATTATATGGTCCTGGTTAACACATGCCCACTCCCACATGCTGTTCAATTTTTTTTGTTTTACCTAAAGCTTGTTCTTTGTGATAAAATAAGAAATTCCATCCTAAATAAATAGCATATATGGCAAAATAGACTAAAGGGTACTTAGGATTGTTCTTTTTCAAGTTATCTTTCATATTACTCACCTTTTAAATTAATTAAGAATGAGTTGCGAGATCATTCGAGATAAAATTTTAATGATTTGTTCAATTAAAATAAATGAGTATAAACATTTTAAATATATTCTAAATAAATTTTACTCTTGAAAGGTAAGTGAAATATTTAAAAATTAAAGTATTTATTTAAAAGAGTGTTTGGATAATGACTTATAGCCAAAGTTTGACATGTTGCTTCATCTTGGTGTGATTTAGAGGAAATGTTATTTGTTGACATCTGAATTAACTTTCGCCCCATGACACTTTATATATATAATTGTGTTAACCATTATGTTCAGTCAAAGATTGGAATTAAGAATAGTTACACGGTTGAGCTTTGAGGGTTCATGGAAGGTCTCAAAGTGACTAGGGAGCGATGGGGATACCCGTAGAGTTGGAGTTAGATTCAGAGGCGGTGGTTTGTGCTATTAATGAAACACATGTTCAAAAGATGTTAAAATGTACGAATAAATGGATGTCATCACATGCATAATGCACAAAAACGGCCGCGTGAATGCACACAAATGCAAACAGCATATATGTGCACAACACAAGTGCACAAACGGGTAATCGTGTGCATTCGTCAGAAGCATACCAAAGTACACACGATAAAGCATAAAAGTGCACACACCGCACTACCGTCGACACAATGACATCCGAAACAAATCAAAGTCAACCGTTGAAATAATTACTGAGAGAAAGAACTTCGAAAATAAATAAATATAATACAAGCATTTTTTGGGTACTATTGACCATTGAAATAATTACTGAGTGAAAGAACTCCCAAAATAAATAAATATAATACAAGCATTTTTTATTGACTTTGTTACATGTAGTATATGTTCATATATACTTTCTCAACCTACTGAAGCTCAATGAGTCAATATCACACCACGACCTCCCAAGAGTCATTCCATACCGTTTGACCACATAGTCATTAACATATATAATACAACCATAATAAATGAAATAAGTTGAATCCCAGCTTTTCCATATGTAGATGGACTTTCTATGCACACAAGGGAGTAATTTGTCCATATATAAATGATAATCATTTCCTTTTTTGAATGCTAATTATATGACTTAGATATGTTCTCATGTAGTGTAAGAGGATATTCTGTCCATATATAAAATTGTTATTAAGGTAATATATATCTAAAATCTAAAAACATAATAAGTGTGAATGAAAGTTATACCCCTGATTTATGTCCGTTTTTTCTGTTAAGTTTTTTTTGTACATTATGCTATAAAGGTTGTACATTAAAATATTTTGGACAAACATACCCCTACCGTTATAACTTCCGTTATCTTTTCCACTATTATTACCATGCACATGCATCCACCATATATTTTCTTATCTTCTTCATTAATAATAATATATACACATTAAATATTTGAGGTATATGTTAATTATTACATAAATGTAAATATCAAATTTATAAAAATATTTACATTATTATTATTATTTAGAATAATTTAAATATCTAAAATCTAAATAAATTTAAAATTTTAATATAATGTATTAATATTAGGCACCTATTTTTTGCGCATCGCGCATAAAAAAATACTAGTATGTTTTATATTTTTCAAAGGTAGTATCTATTCTATATTTTCTCCAAGCTTTTTTTAGACTGAAGAATTTAAGTCCCCACTAAATTTTAATTTAATTTTTTTTTTTACTTTTTAAAATAAAGTGGATTAGCCAAAGGCGTTGTGGTCGAGTAACATAGTTGTGACCCCTCAAATGAGATGTCTCAAATTTGAACGCCAGTGTGGGGGCTTTGACTATTTGTGCTTTAGTAAGTTGAGCTTTAGAAGCGCCTGACAGCCTGAAAATAAGTCTCAACTACATTAATTTGATATTGTCTGGTCTTCCTAATCATTCATTAACATTAGAAGTCAGTGCACCTGTTATGTTATTGCGGAACATAGACCACTTGTCTCTCAATACAATATTACACTAATTAACTCATGTTGTATTATTGCTGAAAAAACTGGTATATTGTGTTGTTACTACCAATGTCGTCTACAAAGAGATTTTCAATAATGTGCAAATACAACCGGTGATATTATGTTCCCTTTTTTTTTTTCCAAGATGGCGAAATTACTATATATCTACACAAAAAATATATCTTCCACACAAATGAATTATGATAACAATTGATTCCTATAACTAAGTTGCTAGAGAACGAGCATATTAATTTGCCCAATTTATTAAAATCATAAACAATGATATATAAAATCTCCAATGTTTCAGCACCGCATACATACATCTACACATTAGCTATTAATTCAGCAATTATTTGCTCGAATTTAAGCAATGATAACATCAAAAAATATAATTGATCCAAACCATATCTTCAATTGCACTATATAATATTTTGATGTTATAATTTATATAATTATATATCGATCCAAATATTCTTAACATATTTTAACAAATCAATTTCGTGCATCACACGGATGAAAATACTAGTACAAAACTAATACATAATTACATAAATATATCATCAAAATGCAAATATAATAGCATTAAAATATAAAATAAAATAAAATAAGTCACGACTTCAACATGCTCATTAACTTATTTAGAAATAAATTCAATTGTTTTATTGTTTATTATCCCATATAATCTCATAAATACAGAGTAATTAACAATCAACTCACATAATTAAGTTGTGATATTTTATTAAATATTATGACAGTAAGAACAGTTAACAAAAAAATTAAACAATACGAACACTTATAAGCAGGATTAACAACAATATTTATAGTTGAATCATAATTTAGAATGTGATTTTGGAGGTGAAGGATTAGTGTTTTGTAATTATATATACTTAGGGGTCGTTTGGTTCACGGAATGTCAGATTACCTTAGGGAATGTTAGATTGCTGGGAATGTTAGATTACTGGGAATGTTAGATTCCTGTGTTTGGTTAAAATTGGGGTATGTAATATAATCATGTTTGGTTTAGGGTTATCTTTTATTCATACACTATAATATCCTTAACATATTTTCATATATTTTAATAAATTTTAAAATTAAAATAAATAAATAAGATAACGGTATCATATATAATTACATGATTTTAAAATATTAACTAAAATATTGAACTTGAGAAACAAAATTATTTTATATGCTAACCTAGCATAATAAAAATAAAAAAATGTATAATTACAAAAATAATTATATGTGTGTGTGTGTGTGTGAGTGAGATAAACTAACATAACCAAGGTTATCTTACATAACCTTAGAAATTGAAGGGAATCACATTCCCTTCAAAATCCTATGTGGAGGGAATGTGACATTCCTGGGGAATGTTAGATTCCCTGAGATAATGTGAACCAAACACAGGAATGTGAGCTTTGGAATGTCACATTCCCTTAGTTATGTTATATAACCTGAACCAAACGCCCCCTTAGGGTTATATTATAAATATAAAAATATATTAGGTATAAAATAGAATATATATATATATATATATATATATATATATATTTATTTATTTATTTATTTATTTATTTATATTTATTTATTTATTTATATAGGCCTGAAGGCCGAGCCGGGTATATTTAAGTTTGGCCTGTTTAGTTTAATAGGTTTTAAAATTAGTTCAAGACCTTTTTATTAAATGAACTAGGTCTAATTATGCCACGGCATAAACTTTTACAAGGGGTCTGACTTATTCCCACCTGGTTTTGACTTTTGAGGGTTGTATTAGAATATTAGAATTTAGATGCCCTCAAACGGTGTCGTCTACCGGTGATGATTTTTGGTTTACCCGAGAATTATTAAGCACCGCAAGAGGGAAGGACTAGTCTGCTCTTCTCGGAAAAGTAACGCTTCCCTCCCTCCGGGGCTAAGCTATCTCCATCCGCACCAACGGCATGAATCCCATGATACCCGACCCGATTTCTAATTAAACCCTTGTTTTTCCCCCCTTTATTCTTCGTTGACCCGATTACAGCCGCTAAATTCACACTCAACTCCAATCGATTCAGACATACCTGCATAATCACATACATTCATTGCCGGCACAGGTGCGGACGTGCCCAGTGAAGCTGATGGAGGATTGTTTCATTTGTTTGAGTAGCGAAGACGATTGCTATTCATCTGATCATGAGTCGCTCGACGCACTTGAGAATGAGGAGTCTGATTCTCAACGTGCCCCTTCCGGAGCAAATTCTTGCAAGGTACACAATTCATTGTTCTATAATCTTCAAAATTTGTTCTGTAATTTTCCATGCTCAGTAAGGCCGTGATATTTTAATTCTATCCATTGTATTTTCAGTTGATTTTTCTTCGTTCCTAAGATGTGTTTCTGCAAGACATGGAATTTTATACGAGTATATATGCTAAAATTTTGATTTTTTAAAAATGGTATCGTTTTGTTTTTGTTCTGATGAATAAAATTTTGATTTTTGTTTATTATTGCATGTTTATGCAATATTCTGTCTACTTTCTCTGCTTGGGCAAGGTATTACAGTTTTCAATCTCCATCTTTAAAATATTTTTCTTTTATTTCTAGGCATTTAAGTTTTCATTTGAGGCCTTTGCATAAATTTAAACAGCCTAGGTCATTATCAATTTATTCTTCTTGAAAAATAGTCCCTTTACTCAGGGTCAGGATTGTGATACATTGTTTCCCTTTTATGAAACTTGTTACTAATGAGTTTGAAATGTAGGTTTTTCTAACACTGTTCATGTCTTTTATAGGTGATTACGAAAGAGTCACTGTTGGTTGCACAGGTAAACCACTATCTTAATATCTTTACTTGTTGGATTGTACCATATTTCTGGA